AAAAACCAAACAGAGTGCTCTGTGGTGGGGGATGGACACTAGTTTATGGGGGATGTCTGCCTGTAACCTACTTTACTTCACTGCTCTCTCTACTCGAGTATCACACAGTGCCAACTCCCTGATGAATCAATGGCTTAGCTCCATCAAGGAGATGATCACGGAACCCTGTGCAAATTTCCCTTGCCTTCTTGAAAGAAAGGGCTAAGGGAGAAAAGAGGAGAAGGAAATCTTCAAATCAAGATCTATTTGTGGGATGAGAAAGAGCACACTTGGAAGATGGGTTTTAGCTTTCTACTAACTCATTTTTGAAGATGGGCAGCAAGTGTAATCCCATCATAAAACTTGAGAAAACGTCTGACATCTGGAAAATGAAGACCAATACAGCTCATATGGTCCAGAAATCAATTGGACAGGGATGCTTTTTGGCCTTCAGCAGCACAGACTGAACTGGTGATCAAGAAACAAACAAACAAACACTCTTTCCATGCTCATTTTTCTTTCTTGGTGTAACTCTGTAACAAATTTCAGAACAATTCATGAACTTTTTATGCAAATACCTCTCTCAATACCAGAGCAAATACATACAGAAAACCACCCTCCATATGAAAACACTGGTTTCCATGAAGTTTTTCAAGGTGCTACTGTCCAAGTCATCTGGCATCTTTGCTCTTAGGACAATCTTAGATTTACACTTTCAGCCTCTTGTCACACAGAAACTGTGCCTGCAGGATTAGAGAGGCCACTGACAGAGCTGCTTCCCTGCTACTGGAATGAGATTGCAACGAAAGGATCTGATTTGGCACACACACACACTTTGGAATTCAACAGAGGCAGCAGGGGGTGGATTTTGCATCCCCAGAAAGGACTATGTTTGGGTAAGATTTTGAAGTGGTCTCATTAGTCTGCCCTACAGGAGGAAGGTGGTTATTTCTTGTTGCTCCACTGCCCAAGGGAAGCCAGAGGTGGGATCTACTGGGAGCCTAAAAAACCTTAAAGCCTCCTGAAAAAAAAAAAAAAAAAAAAAAAAAAAAAAAAAAAAAAAAAAAAAAAAAAAAAAAAAAAAGGAAAAAAAATGACCTTCAATCCAACAGCCCAATTTACACTGTCTGCTGTTCTTTGATGCCTCATGTAAGACTGGAAACAAATCCACACAAAGACAAAGCATTAAAGGAAAGAAAATTAACTGCAGGAGAACAATTGGAGAGGTAAACGCAGCTTCTCCCCTGTTGCTGCTCCACACCAACTGCCTTTTAATTAGAGAGCTGTTTGCATTGCATGGAGAGAGAACACAGAATCTCAATTACTCCCCCAAACACAGATGCAAGTGCCAGAAGAGATCTTCCAACGACGGGAGGGGACCTCAACCAAACCAACCCAGAGCCTCCCTACATCTTGAATGCCAGTTTGGAAGGGAGGAGAGGGCTGGGGAAGGTACCTCAAGAGGAGATCTCGTAAAAGTTCATTCCCTGACCTAGTGTGAGCAAGTCTGAGCTGCCCATTCTGCAGTTCTATCCCTCCCTTCCCACCCGAACACAAACACCTAGGAAGAACCTCCTGACTGATTCAGTGGGATTGTCAGTGTTAAAATCAGAAACGCAAATTTGCAAAGTCTCTTTACTGGAGACAGGATTTACAAACCGTTTGCAACATGGCCCACAAGCTGCACAAAGGAACCAGATACCTTTTAAAGCAAATGTATCCTCAAAGAAGCTTTCCCAAAATCAGTACTGCTAAAGGGTTGTCTGTAAGATGATCTCTCCCTCTAAACTGAGGGAGCTCTGTTTGAACTAAACAAAAGTATGTCTGAGACAGCAAGGACTTCAGAAACTGTGGAATTTAATAACTGTGGCACTGCGGCAGAAAGGAGGAATTCCCACAGCTGAAAACAGGACTGGTTGGCTAAGAACCCCAAATCCCTGTGGTCTCTGAACACAGCACACGGTGAAGAGCCATTTGCACTGCTCAGGAACCCAGGATGACCCAATACCTTTAGTGAAAGCATTGGCACAGCACGAGCTCCACAGAAAAGATGCCAGGGAACAGGAACACAGCTCTCATGAGTCAAATGGTTTCCAGCAACCTCTCTTTGTTCATCCAGTATTGTGCTATTAGACATCTTATCCTGACACACTGGCACGATTAGGAATCTTCTGTTCTCACTCTTTGGGGAAAACCCCTCTGATTCCATTTCCAAAAGTTCACAGAGAAAGTACTGAGTTAAAAGGAAGAGAGGTGGGAGATGCAGGCTGTTAAAGCAGCCCTTGGCAAGTCAGATCCCTGCACTGTGGGTTCAACAAAGCTCGATCCCAAAGTACAAACTACACAAGCTGAAATCATTAGAGCAAACACAGGGCAGCTACAGGGAACGGCAACAGTCAGGCAAGGATTGATAGGAGTCCTCTAATTCAAGAACTAATTGTTTACACAGAAAGGCTCGACTCACACCCTTCATTGTTTCACAGCTCCCAACTATTTCCTGACTTTTATAGAGAACTAATGCAGTGACTTTGGACACAACCAGTGGAGCATGTGGTGGTGTGTGGTTCAGATGTTGGCACAAGTGTGCCTAGAGCAGATGTGGTGTTCTCTCTTTCCAAAGCTAAGAGATGGGCACAACATGAGTAAGGTCTGTAAAATCTCCAGTTAGAAGTTGTCAAGATCTGCATTTTTATAATTAAGGAGGGCTTATTTCAGCCTAAGTGGGACAGATTTTAGAGTAGGCCTTATTTGGATGAGAATGCAGCTCGAATGGTGTGGATGGCTTGATGCAAATAAAAATAAGAGATGCAGATACCCTGGTACCATAAATCAATGCACAGCATCTTTATGTGCTGAGTGGTTGCTATAAATCTCAGCCCAGAATAGGCACCAAAAGTTTTGGGTTGTCACACCACTTCCATGTCACAAATACAAACATATTTAAGGAAAGTCTGTTGCTAAGGGATAACCGCTAACAGCATCAGCAAGGGACTGTAGTCCTCTTGGTGTCACAGACCAACATGAGAGCATTCTGGTACAAACCCAGAGGTTGGTGGAGATTCATTACAATTTCTTTTCCAGGCTCAAAGCAGCACCTGGAAACGCAGCTCTGGATCCAGTGCGAGTGCACACGAATGACTGCTAACTGCCCAAGAGGGGAAGTTCAGTCTGTCAAACCCTGTCAGCTGTTTGGGGCATGTGTATCCCATCGTGCTGCTCTGAAGAGGAAAGAGGAAGGCAGACAAACAGCCTGGGGGTAGCAATGCAGTTATTGCAGGAACAGGAGGGAACAGAGCCACACGTGCTGGGAACAGGACGAGGGGGCTGTAAAGGACAGGGATAATTCCTGGGCAGAGCGGAAGGGAGATGCAACTGCCTCACCTCTGCCAAGTTGGCTCAGCAGAGAAATAAGAGAGCTATCTTCACTAATAAGAGCTCAAGGAGCAAGCCTAACTGGACAGGCTGGCAGCAGTACCTGTATTTCACATCAAACACTGTTGAGTCTTCGTCCTCGTCATCTTCTTCGTTCAGAGGAGCCATTTCTACCCGCTCGGCTGGAGTGGTGATTATGTCATACTTCCTGGTCTTCTTAATCCTCTTGCCAGACCTGAAACACAGAGGTGGGAAGGGAAGGATTGTCTTTATACAGTATTCCTTGGACAGGCTGAAGCTGTTCCCACCAACTCTGAATCACTGCCCTGTTTGGTTCAGACTCCCCCGACACAAAGTGAGCAGAACCAGCCTCCATCCCTTCCTGCTGCTTTTCCAAGGCCACCATTTGTGCCTGTCTGTGGAGCACAGCTTCTCGTCAACTGCAATCCAGATCAATGTCAAGTCTTCCAGCTGCTGACAAACCAGAATCCTCTGGCAGCCAGGGCAGCCCACCACGTCCTCCTGCTGCCACACTCAATAAGTGAGACGTGAGCTTAATCAGCTGAAGCAGCCCATGGTTTAGTGAATGTGTTTGGATGAGAAAGGCCAGGTTAAGCCCTGCTGAGCCACAGGAATGTTCTAGGCAGGATTAGAAGCAAAGGGGTGCTGATGTCTGGGTACAAACAGCCTGCTGTATTTCTTGCTATCAGGCCAAGCTCAGGACTCCCTCAGCAACAATCTTGCGCCTGATCTGAGCAGTTTCAGGCTCCATGCTGTGCAGGTGCTATAAAAAATAATCAACTATCATTCAAAGCTAACAGCACCTACCACTTCTCCTCCAATAGATGCCAGGCTTATTTTCCTTTTGAAATGGAGATGCTCCCACACCTGCACATCCCACAGTTTCGAGAGATCTACTTTCTAAGACTTTCAATTAACAAACACTTGGTATGTGGCTTTTCAAGTAATTCTCTGCCTCTAGCTTGAATTCTGCAGGTTCTTTTTTATTTCACCTACTGTTTTCATGAATATTAGGAAGGTCACACTGCTCGTGCATGAATTCAGTTTTGTGATTAAACATTCAAGAAGGTGTTGATGTGTACGGCCAGCCTTGGGGGAAAAGAGTGGATGGTTCTGGTTAACAAACTGCAGAATTTTTCCCTTTGCCTTTTATAAAACAAAACTGGTACCTGCCAAGCATGAGAAGGGAGCTGGTGCAGGCACAAGCAAGCAGCCCCTAATTTTTGGTAATCACAGCTAGTGCTTTGTGCAGTCAGCACATCACGGGCGCACTTTCACCAGCAAGAAGTCTTGCCCTGGCATGTCATGCAAGGTGTGCTGGATTCGATAGCACTGTTTTTGCCTCAAGATGCCTTTAAAAAAGTTACACAGCAGCAAGAACCGGTGTGTAAGCATTGCAGAGAGCCTGGGACTTCAGGCCCTCCGTGTGCATTTCCACCACTATGGTCACTTCCAGGCCTAGAGTTAAGGAAATTTAATTCAGTGACCTGCTCTGATGTGGAAATCTCAGTGCCTCCACCTAGCACTGCTTTTAGGCAGTAGGCCAAGGCTGAATAAACACGTCCCAGCCCTTGGGATGGAGCAGTTTGCATTTCCTCCCTGTTCTGAAGGCTAAGGTTGCATCAGAAGTGAGGAAAAAGTCGTCTCCTCTCTAATCTTTAGAGCAATCTGTGCCGCTGTGTCACGCAGAGCACAGGGTGGTTTGTTCTTTTCCTACTGTTGTTGAAACAAGCAATTTTATATCCACTGCAGTAGGACTCTTCACCCAAACACTTGAAAATCCTTTTGAAACCACTTCTCTATTATTCTGCTTCTCTGCTAAAACCTAGCACTAAAGTGAAGCAGGGAGGTCTCATTGAACAAGTAATGCATTGTTTTTACAAGAAATATTTACTCACGCTGTGAAGCCTAAACATAGACAAAACTAACCTGTGTCTACCTGTCAGAACTAACCAAGCACAGCCTTACCACTCCTGAGTTCACCTGCAGGGGGTTTCCACAGGTTCCATTTAAAATCTTACCTGCACATCAGGCCCACTTTACTGAGAGCCATCCTCCCTCATCCCTTCCATTAAAAAACATAACTTATTCCACAGAGTTCATCTTAAAATAGTTAATAATGGAGTGTTTGAAGAAATTACTGCAGAACAGGTATTTTTAGAAATGGGAAACTAGAACCTTTTTGCTTCCAGCCATTAATTAGTCTATCTGGGCTACACTTTCAAGAGGGCCTGGAACAGAACTCACTGCACAGTGATCTATTAATCCCTGGAACCCTCACTTAACCATGGTGCTCATTTAGGAAAGGCAGAAAGCTTTTTGCTGCTGGTTTTTGGCTAAGCTGCTACAGTCAGTTGTCTGCCACTGATAAGGCGAAAAGGTCTTTCCTCGCCACCCCTTTCCCAATTCATTCCACACCAGATTTCCTAGCTAATTTGTCACTAATCTACTTTCCTGTTGCCTGTTTTCTCACATTTGCTCATTTGAGCAACTCCCCCAGGCTTCATAAATATTAGAAGAATTACCCAAGCTAACTTTGCAGCAAAGCCTCAGGAGTATGCCTACATGCACACAAAATAAGGCTGCCTGTCAGGAAACTATTTCACATTAAAACTCCTGAAACCTCAGTGGGATCCCTGTAACCATCAGCCACGACACAAAAAGGAAAAACTCTTTATCCAGCAGGTGGGACCAGGCAGCAGAGTCAGCAGAGCAGCACTAGGCAGGAACTACAGAATACAAATGTTTCATGAACTTTGGAGACCTCCTGGGTAGGATAAGGACACATCAGGCCTCATGGGCAAACAGAGGATCTCCTTTCCAGCCAGGTTCATTCTGGGGGGGCTTTTTAGAAGCAAACACGAAGCATGCTGGAAGCTGCGGTGGTGAGGGTGTGTCCCTTGCACAATGACACGCTGAAACACTCCCCAGGTGGTTTAGCCAGGGCAGGAGTGGTGCTGGGTAGTTCAGCGCAGAAAATTATCTTCCACTTTAAAAAATCCTATTGCTTCTGCTGACTTCAGCCAACCCCTATAATTAGGAGAGGATGCTACGGGGCTTGTCCTGAATTACCATGAGGAAGAACAAAAAAAACCCAAGTTAACTGTAGTCAGGGGTATAAACCTTTCACTGCAGACCCAGTGCTGCTCCCACCAAACCAACTCCCTGGTGTTGATGTGGTGAGCACAACGCTTGGGAGAAGTTGGAGTGGCACTGGGCTCGGATGCCTGAGGCACCACACCAGGGTCTGCCTGGTCCATCCCAAATCAGACACACGTCCCTCACCCTGCAGAGTGCAGGGCAGGACAACACACAGGGCTGGGCTGGAGCAGAACGCTGACTTTGTGTCTGTAATTTGCCCTGGGGCTATTTTGATCAAGCCCCAGTCATATGCAGCAGTTCATCCTCCTTTCTGAGGCATCATGTGGTGGGTAACTGCTCCAGTCAACTCACTAGTTCATTATGTTATTTACGCCTCTAATCTATTTTAGTCAACAACACTGGCATTCAAAGATAATGCTTTTCCTGACCTAGAGAGAGAGGTCTCTGCATTTCTAAACTTGTATTAACACTTCCTGCTAAGAGATGTAGTGGGAGGGGACCTTCCTTGGAATAAAAAGAAAACATTTAAAAAAAAAAAAAAAAAAAAAGTGCCTTCTTAGCAGGGTGATTATTGGAATTCTGATGAAGCCAGTTCCCCCTAGAACTGCAGCAACGTTATACCAGGAATGGAATTAGGACAGTTTATTTGCTGTTAATGGACTCTCTTAGCAGTTAAAAAAAAATATGGAAATATAAACCTCAGGAAACTGCAGACTTACTACCAGATGATGAATTAAATCAGTGATATTTCATTACTGTTCATCTGTCTGGGTATCTGTGCTCTCTGCATAGTGCTGTACACAACAAAGTCAGACCACGATGCCAAGTCCTCACATGTTTTCTGGAGATGGGGCACGTAGTGATAGGACAAGGGGGAATTACCATAAACTGAAAGAGAGCAGGTTTAAATAAGGTATTAGGAAGAAATTCTTTACTGTGAGGGTGGTGAGGCACTGGCACAGTGAGGCTGCCAAGAGAAAATGTGGACGCCCCATCCCTGGAAGTGTTCAAGGTTGGTGCACTGAGCAACCTGTTCTCTTGGAAGGTGCCCCTCCCTATGTCAGGGGGTTGGAATGAGATGATCTTTAAGGTCCCTTAGACCCAAACCATGCCATGATTCTGGGAGATACACTTTGCTGTAGAAACTGCCGTGTTTTCTAACAATCAAGTTCTTTAGATGGAATACATGCAAGCACAAAGAGCAGAAGTGTCCCCGTGCCTAACTGTGCCACTAATAGGAGGTGGATCAGAGATGGATCAGAGACTACTACTGGGAATAACTTCAGGAACACCTAAATGGGATATTGCTGTGCTTCAATGAGGCAGTGATGTCTGTAAGTATTTAGCATACACCCACTCACAGGTGGTGGTCAGTACCAGTGCCAGCACCTACTTCCAAACACTACAGCACAGTCAGAACAATATTGTCTGAGAAGTGCTTGAGAAGTACCCTAGTTTTATAGGGCAGACCTTTGAGAAATATTCTTGTTTTATAGGGCAGAGCTGCAGAAACTTTTATGATCTGCCTAAACTCTTCAAGGCAGTGAATCCTACAAGAAGAAACAACATTCATCCTGTTGAGACTGTTCACATCAGAGATGTAAAGAGCCCAAGACAGTATAAGACAGCAATCCCCTCTCCCCTCCTTCCACTAATCTGCTCATTGTCACACTCACGTCAGGACAATCCAGTTTTCCCTTTTCTCATTCTTTGTGGCCATAACTACTACCTGCACCTGCAGATTAAATGAAGCTTTCAGTATAGGTCTAAAGTGTGTTTTGGGGTTGGATGTGTGGTTGTTCTGGGTTTCTTTCTTCTCCATTTAATATAATTTAATTTGAGGGGGTTTTTTCCCTGCTCCCAGCAGAAGTCTTGTCTTTGCTGGAATACTCTAACTGGTTACAATACAATTAATTTTAAATCAGTCAAACTCTCTGGGGTTAAGACTTGGATTGCCCAGAGCAATTGCCCAGCTCATAGAACAAAGGGTCATGTATCCTATGATCATATGCTTGAACCTCTCTCCTCAGTGTCAGTCATTTATACCAGTTTTGCAATTACTGGAAAACTAAGCTAAAAATGGTATTGGAGGAAGAAATACAAATTGAACACAAACCAACAAAACAAAGCAATGAGATACAAAATAAGCAGGTAACTTCTTTCTAGAAATCTAGATAAATAGCAGCCTTTCCAGCCTGGGTTCTGCTTGTTCAAGGGCAGGTCAAGACATGAAGCAAACTCTTATAGCAGAGAGTTTTCTGCTATAATGAAAGCTTTGGGTTGCTTTCAGCTGGCCCACTGGAGCAGAAGTAACTTAACCAGTTTCCCCAGAAGGCACATGGTCTACCAGCACACTTAGCCACATCTGAAAAATTCTGTTTCCTGTGAGCTGATCCCAAGAATTGTATTGCGATGGAATGAACTGAGCTGCACCAGGAGAGAGAAACAGGGCAGAATATGGGTGTAAAAAGGCAAAACCCAAAATGCAGCTCAAAGACTGAATTTAGCCACACATCATCTGTTGCAAGACACTGTGTTTCTTGCTAATGCAAACTACTCAACTATTTGATTGAGAATAACATGAAATTTGGTTTGTTGTGGAAATGGTTTAGGGTTGGAAGCATGCAGAGCCCACGGGTATAGGAAAGAAAGCAACCCAGAACTGAGCTTGCAAAAAAGAATAAATAAATAAACACTATAGCAATTTAGGCCTTGCCACATGCAGACAAATAGTAAAGTCTTGGCTGGCCTTCACAGACCCCAGTAGGCAAAGGAAATTCAGACCACTTTGGGTGACACCACATTCTGAATCACAGGACCATCAGATGAATTCAGAGCATAACATTCCCAAAATAAATTAAGAGGAATCTCTGAGTGCTGTCTTAAGAACAGAGCTGAATATTGGAGAAATATATCTATCCCTGCTCAAACAAAAAAAGGAAAATAATATAAACAGAAAAATATGTAAAAATTAAATGTATATAAAAAATTAAATGTATAAAAAATTAATCCAATGCCTGTGACAAGAGTATCTGGCCACTCGCTAGTTAATTTCATTTCTACAGCCCATAACTAAAAAGATAATTTACTTCAAGCAACCCAGAACAATTTCATAGTGAAGGTTTATTCAAAGATTGGATTTCAGCAAAATCTCTTTAATGGGAATCCATGACACTTCAGAAAAAAAATCGCAATGTTTTTGACTAAGTGTGAACAAAGCTCTTATTCTGATGGAGAAAAGCTTTACATTTATTGAGGGTAAATCCCTTATCTCTTCTGCACCAGAATCTCTTCTGATCTATGTTGTCAGCTACAAGTGTGACACTGTACAGACATACCTGTTGGTATTCTGGTCTCATTTGCAACTGGGATAACTGTTTACAAAATAAAGAAGCATACTCAGAAGTTAAAAAGCTTCACCTTCCACTTCTCCTAGCAGGTTCTATCAAAGATGTACAAGAGATCTGGCGTTGGGCAAGGCAGGTATGTGTATTTATTTTACTGTATCCTTAATGCTGCATTTACTCTGATCAGTTACATAATGACAACTTTGGCATGGAAGAACTAATCCACCGTTCCCAAGGTGGCTTTAACCTGGACTTGGTTTTGCTGATTAGGAAGGCCTTTAAAGGCTATCGGTTTGCCTTCTTTGGCTAGGAACATTCAGCCTTATGCCAGGTCTCCTTGACACGAGATCTTGCTTTATACCCAGGAGAAACTGTGGCAGAGGAAATAGAGTCTCCAAGATCAGATAGAAATAGGACTAGAAACTCAGGCTTTTCATTCTTCTCTTAGTTATAAACTTCCTAATTCTAGCTCATATACCCACTATCGATTCTCCTGTTTGTCCATGACAACTTTATACAAAGTGGATATACTGATTAAAAAAAAATCTCCTCAATACTTTATTGGGCTCTCCCAAACCACCTCACTTTAATGAGCACATTTATTTGCAGTGCCTTCTGCCAGCTGCTGCAACACTTAAGTAGAATTTAGTTAAATGTCAATTTCCTTGGAAAATATCTGTTCTGATCATTTCAGTTTATAGACCCCACTTTGTAGTACTGCTATTATGAATACTGCCCTTCCTACACAGAATTAATTTCGAAGCAGGAGAAGCAGAGCATTCAGCCATCCTGTAAATACGAAGGAACTGCCTGAAGACAGAACAAGGAAGAATTTGCCAACTCCACTTAGTTCAACTGCTCCTGTCACCTGAGACGTGGCCCGGCCTCCTCCCTGTGCTGAGTGCCAGCTGTTCCCCTCTCCCGGCTCTTCCCGGGTGTCCCTGCCCAGCAGTCGGACACTGAGCCGAGACACTTTGCCATCTGGACCTGGATCTCCAGCTGGGCTTTGTGTGTCTCCACGGACGGCCACCCCAAGGCTCCTTGGGCCCCAATCCCAGCGACCCAATGCCTACAACCCCACGGATTTCCAGATGTTCCCCCTGGAGTTCCACGTGATACCTTCCATGCCCACTCCAGCCCCCGGCCACCATGCAGTGAGTGAATCCCACGCTGGAAAAGCCCACTTGGAACCCAACTCCTGCCCTAATTTCCTGCAGGAGCGGGAGGAAGGAAGGCGGAGCAAGATCTGCCAGGCCCCGGCAGCTCCCTGAGGCTTCCCCAGGGGCTCCCGAGCCACCCACAAACGCTGTGCTTGAGGCCGGGCTTTAAGACTATTATTACGGGCGGGTTAATGGTTACTATTATATAACATATAATTATATATATAATTTTCATAGATAGACAGATAGAGAAATAACAATAAAATAATAAAATAAACAGGGAGGGGGTTCACCCCTTCTCCCGGAGCCCCAAAGCCGTCCCACCCGCAGCCCCGCCGCGTCTCGGGGCGCCCCCGGCCGTGCCCCCGCCGCGCCGGGCGGCCGCGGTACCTGAAGACGCGGAGCAGGAGGCAGGCGATGAGCGCGGCCGTGAGCGCGCAGGCCCCGATGACGGCGGCTTTGAGCGCGGACAGGTCCCGGAGCATCGCGGGCACGGGGCTGAGCCGGGCCCCGCTGTGGTTGCCCGGGGCCGGCGCGGCGGGCGGGTGGCTGCCGTTCCCGGCCGGGGGCTCCAGGCTGCCGCGGGCGGCGGGCGCGGCGGGCAGGAGCAGCGGCAGGAGCAGCGAGGCCGCCAGCAGCGGCAGCGGGGCGGCAGCGGGGCGCATCCTGCCCGCTCCGGCTCTGGCGGCTCCGGCTCCTCCGGCCCCGCCGAGCCCCGGAAGGCAGCGCCGGCCGGCCTGGCCCCCGCCCCCGCCCCCCACCCCCCGAGAGGCACCGCCTCCCGCTCCGGGGCCCCGAGCCGGGGAGAGCCGGGACGAGCCGGGGCGGCCGGAGCCTCCGCCCCCGGAGCCTCCCGCAGCCACAGCGGGTTCCTCCGGCCCCGCGGACTCGCCTGCAGCCCCAGCGGGTTCCGAGAGCCCCGCCGCTACCTCTCCCATCACCACCGTCTCTTATTAGAGATTGTTCAGAGCGAGCTGCGAGGATGGTGAAGAGTCTGAGGGGCCGTATGAGGAGCGGCTGAGGGCACTTTGTTGCTCAGCTTGGAGAAGAGGAGGCCTAGGGGAAGCCTCATCGGGGTCTGCAGCTTCCTCACGAGGGGCAGCACCATCTCTGCTTTCTGTGACTCTGATCTCTCTCAGGGACAGGACCCGAGGGAACGGCTGGAGCTGTGTCAGAGGCAGGTTAGGCTGGATATTGGGAAAAGGTTCTTCCCCAGTGGGTGGTCGGGCACTGGAACAGGCTCCCCAGGGCAGTGGTCACAGCCCCAAGGATGACAGAACTCAAGGAGCATTTGGACAACACTCTTGGACACATGGTGGGATTGTTGGGGTTGTGCTCTGCAGGGCTAGGAGCTGGATTTCGCTGATCCTTGTGGGTCCCTTCTCACGATAGCCTGTGTTGCTGTGATTTTGTGGCCACTCTTAATTGCAACACACAACATCTGCCCAGCTGCAAAATGATGACAGGGTTCACACTGCCATCACACAGGGTACAAAGCTCCTGAGCTGCTGGGTCAGCATGGCCCAGCTGCTACATCAACAATTCCTGCATCAGATTTATGTCCTTTTGCCTTTCCATTGGTCACCAAGCCTCTGCTTACAGGTAATTTGTTTACTGGTATTTCACATATTTAAAATTGTAAGAGGCATGGAAATCATAGCCGCAGTTCTGCAAACCATCCCAGGTGCACCAAGCATGTGAGTGGCGCCATTGGCCAGGACTAACAGGGAGAATAAATTAGGGAATCATAGAACATTCTGAGCTGGGAGGGACCAAGGATCACTGAAGTTCAATTCCTGGGCCTGAACAGGACAATCCCAAGAATCCCAGAATGTGCCTGAGCACATTGTCCAAACACTTCTGTCAGGCTTGGGGCTGTGACCATTGCCCTGGGGAGCCTGTTCCAATGCCCAACCATGCCCAGGGGGAAGAACCTTTTCCTAATATCCAGCTGAAAACTCCCCTGACACAGATACAGCTTCATGCCATTCTGTCACTGGTCACAGAGAGCACAGATCCATGCCTGGCCTTCCTCTTCCCCTTATGAAGAAGTTGTAGGCTGCAATAAGGTCTCCCCTCAGTCTCCTCCAGGTTGAACAGACCAAGTCATCTTAGCTGTTCCTTGTATGACTTCTCCTCTGGATCCTTCACTATCTTTGTAGTGTCCTTCAGACACTCTCTAATGGCTTTATATCTTTCTTATGTTAGGGTGCCCAAACCTGCACACCTTGCTTGGGATGAGGAGTAAATAGGAGAGCAAAGAGCCTTGATACTGCCATGATACTGCCGAGATACAACTTACTTTTATTCTCTATGTTCAGTATTAGCATGAGCTGCTAAATAATTTTGTGTGGAGAGGGAGGGGCACGATGGCACTGAAACGAAGTGAAACAAAGAGGGGGGAAAATGAAAAACTGATTTCCTTTCTATTAAACTCAGTACTTCAGGGTTGGCATGGCAGAGTATAGTATGTAGGAAGGCATGACTAAGCCGTGCAAAATATGACAGAGATGTATTCCCCGCTGGCAAATGTCCCACCAGAGAGGTAGCAGGGAAATAGTGCACAGTTCATCGGCCTTTTGAGCCAGTTGGGATGCTGTATCAAACACCACCCACTTGGCAATAAAAGCATCCTGTGTGTTTTGCAGGAAGCTCTTCGGGATGGGGAAATTTTGACATGGACACTGTGCAGAAGGCCCGCTAGACTGCCTGAACTGGGCATTGTTCTGGGCTTTATTTCATTGCTGGCTTTTGTGCAGTTTCCCAGTTTCCAACATGGCATCTTAGTTTAGTTTTTCAGAAAAAAAAAAATAAAAATAATAAAAATAATAAAAAAATCCAGCTGGGCAGGAGGTCAAGTTGGCGATGTGGGCTATTTCCCAAACACTGGTGCAGGGCTGCTCACATGAGTTATTTGTAAACACTGACCCTGATGCTGCCCCTTCCTGTTCTGAGCTGTTAGCCAGCTGCTGCTGCCTGGCCTCTTGTCAGAACCCTCTGGCAGAGCAGTGCTTCCCCATAGGATGAGGGAAGACATGTAAAGGACTTCTAAAACAAGAATCACCTCCCACAGTTTGAGTGAAGGTGTTGGAGGTGAAGAACCATTAACATGACAGTTTTGTAAAGCATAATTTATTTCAAGTGGCTTCAAGGTTTTTCGTTTTGGTTTGCTTTGGAGTTTTGTGGGTTTATTTTTTTTTTTTCCTCAGATGCATTACTGATATTTCTCATGTCATTTGCCTAATTTGGAAAGCATTCCTGGGTCCTGGTCTGGAATGTGGGATTTCGCAACTCTGTTCTTCAATGACATCATGTGGTTTGTACTGAACACAGCAGTAATAAATGAGAGCAAGGGGAGTTTACCAGCCATCTACAATAAACATTTTATCTGAATAGTCATCTTTTGGGCATCTGAACTAATTAGTGGGGATTAGATTTTACCGAGAAGGACACATTTTCCATGTATATAGGACAAAGGGTCCCACTTGGATAGCAAGGAAGCTACATCTTGGTTTCATCTCCCCCTTAGCAGTGGTGGTTGTGAAAGCCAGAGTTCCTGAGAGCTTTGGTAGAAGAACACAACTTTGAGAAGCCGAGAGGAAATCCAGTCAGGGAAAAATGCAGGAAGTATTTGGTTTCTTTTCCGATGAAATCTTGTGTTTCATTCCTGACACCAACACGCACCCGGAAGAGGAGAAGGATCTGTGGATTGCAGGGGTGGGAGTTGGTGTAGCTTTTCTTCTTGCTGAGCTTTCTTCCTGTTTTCACCTGTTTGGTGTCATTACAAGTTGGAGCTCTCATGAGCAATTGCACTTTCTGTAGAAGAGTCCGGTACTGGCTAAATAGAAGGAGTGAGCGTGTTTCTGTGTGCAGTTGCTTCTGGGAATGGCAGATATCTGTATTTATGGGTGCCTGTTACAGGAGTATCTCCTTTTGTGCAAAGGCTCTTCATACACTGCTTCGCAATTCATATGGAGTTCAAGATGCCCCTTCCTTTGTGCTCTTGGCCTCCCGGCAGCACCCAGATGTATTTTCAGCTCTCAGAAAAGGGGAAAATTTGCAAGAAATTGTGCAGAGAAGAAATAAGCAAAGGAGTTGAAGCTGGCTCAGTCGTCGGATTTAGGCAAGCTGTATTTGGAGGAATAAATAAGTGTTTCTGTGAGAGAAATGAAATGTGTACAAAATGAGGCAAACTAGCTTCCCAAGGATTTGCTGAAGAAGTAATACACCTTCTGGACAAAGACCAGAGTCAAGGAAGGAAGGAAATAAAGTGGAACTGGTAAGGGATCAGTGCTCCATGAGCACACCTCTCACATCTCAAAACCAAAAACCCAGGCAGAGATATAAATTCAAGGAGCAACCAGGTCTGCATCAGAGTGTGTTTCAGCTGGGATGTCAGACAAGAGAGCACAGGGTAATTGCAAGATTTAATCATTCTTCCGGTGACTATCGATAGATAACCTCAACCAACAGTGCAGTAAAACTGCAATGCCTCATCTATCACGAGTGGTCTGAGGGCTGCAGAGATGTCCTATTGCTAATTAAAGACCAGCGATGTAGAGCAAGCAGGAGCTTCAGATATACTTGGATATGGCTTTGCACATTCCTAGTTAGCACGTTACATTAGCCTGTTATTCCTATAACCCTCTAAAGCATTTATGGCTTTTTACAGACATTAAAAGCTAGTGTTACTGCTGCAAAAGGCTTATAATTGAAGTCTATGATAAGCAGCAGATTCCTTTTAAACAAGGTTGGTGCAGTCAATTAAGCTGGGGTGCAGAGATTATCTCCTGAACAGGTTCTGCAATATCGCTAATACACACAATGTTGCAGTGTAGCACTTAATCTGAAAAAAAAACCCCCAAAAAACCAAAACCAACCAACCAACCAAAAAACCCACAGGAAAAGGAAGGACAGCAGTAAACCACAAATCTTTGTTTAGTTTGGATAACAATAATCAAAGAACACAAAAGCCGATTATGACTTTGCCTCCCACTGCTTTGTGCCTATTCAAGCAGCCTGTCCTGGCTGGCCCACTGAAGTGCAACCTGAAGGAAACTGACAAATACTTCAAGTCTTTCTTTTTTTTTTCTTTTTTTTTCTTTTTTTTTTTTTTTTTAAATGGAGTTATTTGCAGATGATGTTCTTAGGCTGGTTTTCTTTGTCTTAGCTGCATGAAATAAACTCATCAGGGTAGTAGCAGCTAATCTTGCAGCCTCAGATGGCATTAGAGGTTTACTGATGATGTTAAAGTGACTGCCAAATAGCAGGATGCCATCCAGAATTGCGAGTGACCTGGATATGATGTAAAGAGAATTGGATTTAACCCCTACATGCACTATTTCCTGGTCCAGCTGAACCGTTGTCAGACATGGCACTTATTTTGTCATTGCAGAAAAATACGTCAGATCAGCTCAAAGGGGAAATATCTGTGCTGTAATAGTGTTTCTGATCCATCACTACCTACTCACCCATGTCTTAGAAGGCCTGCACAGGCCTGTAAGAAGCAGAGAATCGACCTGAGGGCTTGCAGGATGCTGCACTAACACATCATGGTTGTTGCCACTGTGAAAGCAGCTCCAGGATGTCCACACACCCTTCGTCACACAGACATCCCTCTGGAGTGAGCAGCCGGGATCCAATGAGCCTGAAGGTCACTGAGGTG